TCCCTTCCCAGCACACAAAGTACTATAAGACGTCGCTACCTCATCGCGGCAGCAGCGGAATGAGGGGAATTAGAAGGAAAGGCTTATTTTGGGTGGACACGGTGCGCAGCCGACATGACAAGAGGAGGAAGATGCTTTTGCTGTCGCAAAGCCATTTTCTCCATTGCGAAAATGTGAGGCAGGTCTGCTCCGATCGGCCTGCTGCTGTGCCCGGCCCAGTCCTGGGGGAGCACTTCTGGCACCCTCCACTGTCCAAGCCCAAGGCAGCTGGGGAGGTCTCACAGCCGCTTTCTATATCTGTTTAAAAACATGGGTTTTTCAGGAGTCTCTGAAATCCCTAATGAAAACTTTCAGTAAAAACCACTGCTTTGTTTCTATTCCTTGGTACCCATGCTTCAGCCTCTTCTCAAACCGCTGAGCCCCTTTGCTCCTGGGAGGATTTTTTTCCAAAAGGAAATATTTTCTCCCTGCCTGAAAGTGACCATATTAATATTAAAATTACAATTAGTAGGTGAAACATTTAAAACCTCTTGATGTTACATGAAAAACGACAGGGTTGCCGGGCTAGGCGTGTTGGGAGGGGGCTCTGTGCCCTCCTTCTGCCGTGGTTTGTGAACATGCTTGTGCCATGGCAAAACACAGAGAGCTGCTCCCATCCTGCCCTTCAGGTAGAGCACCAGGGCAGTGCCATGGCAGCTTTAGTGGGGGGCAGAGGTGCTGGGGGCTGGCCGAGCAGGTCACAGCTCATGCAGAAAGGATGTGACTGGCTCTGTTGGCGTTGGCACGTTGCCCTAGCAGAGCTCTGGCAGCTCCATGAGGACCAGCCCAGGTCCTGCCTGTGTGTGCGGGAAGGATTTGTGGGGCTTCCCGTGGAAGGGAGCATCCTGACCTCTGCACAGGTGCCCTGTTGGCATGATGTGGGACGTTAAATCTTGCCTTAATATGACTGTCAAACACCAGTTTTTGTGAAGTGTGCCAGGCACTTCCCCATAAATAAATGATGGAGCATTATTCAGTCCACTTAGATCAAAACATCAGCTTGACAAGTTCCAGTTCTGGGAAATTTCTGACCCCCTGGAACAGCTGCTCTGCAGCTGTGCTGCCTATAAACGGTGGGGTGCAGCCCAAACAAGATCCAGGGAGCAGAGCATCAGGACCCGTCTGTCTTGATGCTGCCACCTTGCCAGGCCCTGGGACGGGGGCTGGTTTGCACTAGGATTGCAGCAAGAGCAGGCGGGGTGAACTCGGTGCCAAACTGGGCACCATTTTTACAAGAACTGGACAAATCTTGTGTTCCTCCCACTGCAAGCAGCACCGTGGCACTGCCCAGCCTTACTGGTGTGCCCTCCGTGTGCTCCTGTCTCAGCTGAGAGGACGATCTTTGACCCCCAGCGCTACCAGAAGTGGTCCATGGAGCTCTTGTTTCAGGCTCTTTGCAAATTGAGGCAGATGCAGCACGACCACTGGGAAATTCTGTGATACAGTGCAACAAGAGAATGATCTCAAACCCTCTTTGCTTTCTTCTAAAGCCAACCCCAGATGCTGTGATTCTGCACACGCAGCATCTCCCAGCTGTACCCCCATGTCTTATCCCCTAATAGCTCCCCTTGTTTTTTCTGCCGGTTATATGAGGTATGGGTTACCAAAGGACTTACCTCCCCATACTGACACTTCTAACAGGGTGTGGAATTGTGGATTATCTGTGGCTCTGGCTCTGTGCATGGAAACAGTGTGTTCCTAATCTCCTGCTGCTGTTAGCTCACATTTATCACAGGAGTATCTGCTTACCTTTGATTCGAGATCCCTACATCAGGGACCCAGGGTGGTATTTGTCTGTGAACTGCCACGTATGCCTATGGGATTGTATAAGTAAATAAATATAATTAATAATCATCTGACTTCAGAACAGCATTGGCAGGGAGGTAAATGTAGCCTTCATAGAATTACAAACAAAATCAGGAAAAAAGGGAGACCTTTCTAGGAGCTGGTATGAATGGAAATAACAGTGTTCGAGCTGCTTGGAAATTACTCTGCGAACATCGTTTGGGTGGGTTTTAGCAGATCAGAGGCATTGTGTTTGCTTCTGAATCAGAATTTGGACCAAAACCATTTTAAAACAGCTTTTTAAAAAGATGCCCATGTGTTTTCATCAATTAAAATGTAGATGAAAATAAAGTGCCAGGGGGTCCTGGCCCTGTGTCAGTGTCTGACTGACAAGGGAGCAACCCAGTCCCTGCAACACCAGGTTTCAACCAGAGGGAGGGACAAATTAACCTGATTTCCTGGCATTTTTTTAAATCCTTTGGTTTGCGAGCGAGTCAGAGGCGACTCGAACTGTCTCACGGTTTGTCGTAGGGATAAGCGCTGTCGGGACAGGGGTTGGAACCATCTGGAGAGGGGCTGCGAATGGCACCAGTGTCCTGGCAGCTGCGGTGAGCCGGTGGCGAGCTGGTGGCCACGGTCACCCCAGCGGGCTGGGGAGCCCTGCGGCCGGGAGCCTCCAGCACCTTCTGCCTCACTTTAACAGTCAGAAGAAGAACTTTCCTGTTTAAAGATTAAACGTTGTCTTTAAATATTAAACAGCAAAGCTCCTTGCTCTTGATTGTGCGGCTGCTGCCGGCAGGCGGCTCGGAATTGCCAATTTTAATTAAAAAACTTTGTTTTCCAACACAGCCCAGCGCTGGCTCC